CCCAGCCCCGGGCTTCAGAGAGGAGCGTGGTGCTGCGGCCGGTGGCTGGTGGCCAAAACTCATCCATCCCCATCTGGCAAATGCGGGTGGGTGCCAGCCCCTCGGTCCCCCGGTGCCAGCCGGGGCCGGGCCGGGCAGACACCCCTGGTCCCCGCAGCCCCCGCAGCCCCCACCGGGCGAGGAGGAGGATGACGACAAGGAGAAGGATGAGGATGAGGAGGATGATGAGGACATGGCGGGGGAAACAGAGGACATCCTGCGCTACGAGGAGCACATCGCCGGGCTGCTGGCGACGGTGGCCCGGCTGCACCGGAGAGCCGAGCAGCTGCAGCACCACACGGGCAGGTACCGGCACGCGGTGGCTGCGGGGCGTGGGAGGTTGCCACTGCTCGGACCCCTCCGTCTCTGGCCTTCGCCGCCCCACAGGGAAGATGAGGAGGGCTGGGAGGGCACTGCCAGCCTCCCTGCTGCCAGCCCGCAGCCCCGGTGCCTCGACGGCACGCTCGACACCGCCACCGGTCTGGAAGGTGGGTGCACCGTGCCGTGATGTGCCGTGCCGTGCCGTGCCGGCAGCTCGCTGCCTGCTGCAGGGACCTGACCCTGGCCGCGCTCCCTCTCCCCAGCCCACGGCCCCGACCTCTTTGCGGACCTGCAGCACGCTGTGAGTTCACTGGAGCGCGCCGTCTTCTCCCGGCACCGGCGGGCACCGACGCAGCCTGTGCCCAGCGAGGAGTGGGCGCGGGCGGTCAAGGTGAGCCACGCTGGCGTGGTCAGCCCAGACACCAAGGGGATGGGCACCGGCTGACCGGCCCTGTATCCCCAGAGCCTGGAGGAGCTGGACCGGACACCGGGCTGGGCCGGGAGGGCGACACACCGGGGGCTGGAGGAGGGAGCGGGCAAGGGGCTGCCAGCGGAGGAGGCGGTGGTGGCGGCTGCAGTGGCAAAGAACGTGGCACTGCGGGCGGCCATGGGGCGCCGGGACGAGGAGCTGAGCCGGGCCACTGCCTCGCTGCGGGCGCTGCGGGGGGAGCGCGACCGGCTGCAGCAGAAGGTGGGTGCCAGGGGCAGGGCAAGTGGGGGGCACTGGTTCAGCCCTCGTGGTGCCACCGGAGCGGCCCCCGGGGCTCAGCCCGGTGCTCGGTGCAGGTCCAGGACCTGCGGGATGCTCTGTCCAGGCTGGAGGAGCCGGGGGGCTCCGGCAGCGACCCCCCTGGGCTTGGCAGCCCCCCGGGGCAGAGGGAGCCCCAGCTGCCCCAGGTGAGTGTGGGGCTGGGGCGGGCTGCGGCTGGCGCCGCGGGTGCGGGCGGGGCGGGTGGGAGGCTCAGCGGGTGGGATCCTGCCCAGGCACGGGGCTCTGCCTGCCCCGGTGCCGGGCTCTGCCTGTCCGCTCTGCAGGACCTGCCCCAGTGCGGCGATGGCGCTCAGCCCCATGGCGTGCAGCCCCATAGTCCCCTCTCCCCCAAACCCTCGGAGGGTGCCAGCTGGGAGCAGGAGCAGCGGGTGCAAGAGCTGCAGGGGTAAGTCCCCCCCCAGCCCCAGGGCTGCCAAGCCCTCGCTGGCAGGGAAACTGAGGCACGGCGCCAGGCCCGGCCATGCGGTTAACCACGGGTGCCGGCGGTGCCCAGGTGCCTGGGGAAGCTGCAGGAGGTGAACCGGCAGCTGGCAGCCGCGCTGCAGGAGTGCAAGAGCGATGCGGAGCGGCTCAGCATGGTGCTGGGCCAGCACGAGTCCCACAGCACCGCCCTGCGCCTGGCCCTGCGCTGCAGGTGGGGACTGGGACAGGGACGGGGCGGGGGGACACAGCCTGCGGTGCCCCGCTGAGCCCCTCTCCCTGCAGCGAGCGCTGCGCGGGGGCCTACGCCGCCCTCCTCGACCTGGTGCGGGCGAAGCTGGATGGTGCCCGTGGCGGTGAGCGCCAGCCTGGGGGGCTGCGGGGGGCGGGTGGCTGGGGGATGCTGGGGAGGTTATGGGCAGGGTGCTGGGCAGGGGCAGGGGGTGCTGGGGGATAGCAGGGACACAGGGAGGATGCAGAGGGGATGTAGGAGGGATGCAGCGGGATGCGCAAGGGGTACTGGAGGGGTGTCGGGGGGATGCATGGAGGATGCGGGCAGGTATTGAGGGGATGCAGGGAAGGTGCTGGGAGGGTGCTGGGCAGATGCTTACGGATAGCAGGGGGATGCAGGAAGGACGCTGGGGAACCCCAGTCTCCAGCACAGCCCCTGTGGGCACTGGGCAAGGACGCGCCTGAACGCTGCCTGCCCCGTGCCCAGGAGCCCCAGGGGAGCGGAGCCCAGGGCACGGCTGGGGGTCCAGCCCCCCGC